ACCCCCGCCTGCACCCACCGCCCCCCCGGCCCCACACACGCCACCGGGCCCCCCGAGTCCGCCTGCGGGGGCACGCGCGACCCATAGCGCCACCCATAGGGACCCCCTGGGCCCCATAGAGACCCCATAGACCCCATAGGGTGCCCCATAGAACCCACAGAGACCCATAGACCCCATAGAGACCCATAGAGCCCATAGTGAACCATAGAGGCCCCATAGAGACCCATGGGCCCCATAGACCCCATAGAGACCCATAGAGACCCATAGACCCCATGGGCCCCATAGTGACCCATAGAGACCCATAGAGACCCCATAGGGCACCCCACAGAGACCCATAGAGCCCATAGTGACCCATAGAGACCCATAGAGACCCCATAGTGACCCATAGACCCCATAGGGTGCCCCATAGAGACCCATGGACCCCATAGGGTGCCCCATAGACCCCATAGACCTCACATGGCCCCATAGACCCCATAGACCCCCCATAGATCCCCCATGGACCCATAGATCCCATAGAGGCCCATACAGACCCATAGACCCCATGGGGTGCCCCATAGAGACCCATAGAGACCCCTATAAACCCCATAGCGCAACCCATAGGGACCCCCTGGGCCCCATAGAGCCCATAGAGACCCATGGACCCCATAGAGACCCATAGACCCCATAGAGACCCCTATAAACCCCATAGAGCCCATAGGGTGCCCCATAGAACCCACAGAGACCCATAGAGCCCATAGAGACCCATAGAGCCCATAGAGACCCCATAGAGACCCTATGGGCCCCATAGATCCCATAGAGAGCCATAGACCCCATAGGGTGCCCCATAGATGCCATAGTGACCCATAGAGACCCCTAGAGACCCCATAGACCCCATAGACCCCATAGAGACCCCTACAGACCCCATAGGGCGCCCCATAGACCTCCCATGGCCCCATAGAGCCCATAGACCCCATAAAGACCCATAGGCACCATAGAGACCCATAGCGCCCCATAGACCCCATAGGGACCCATAGGGACCATAGTGCCCCATAGAGCCCCATGGACCCCATAGAGACCCATAGAGACCCCATAGGGTGCCCCATAGAACCCATAGAGCCCATAGAGCCCATAGCACCCCATAGAGCCCCATGGACACCATAGAGACCCATAGACCCCATAGAGACCCCATAGAGACCCATAGGGACGCCGTGGGCCCCATAGAACCCATAGAGCCCATAGAGCCCATAGCACCCCATAGAGCCCCATGGACCCCATAGAGCCCCGTGGACCCTATAGACCCCATGAAGCCCAAAGACCCCTGTGGACCCTACAGACCACCCGTAGACCCCCCATGGACCCCATAGAGCCCCGTGGACCCTATAGACCCCATGAAGCCCAAAGACCCCTGTGGACCCTACAGACCACCCATAGACCCCCCATGGCCCCATAGACCCCATAGACCCTACAGACCCCATAGGGTGCCCCATAGAGACCCCATGGACCCCATGAGCCCCATAGATCCCCATGGACCCTACAGACCACCCGTAGACCCCCCATGGACCCCATAGACCCCATGAACCCCATAGGGTGCCCCATGGACCCCATAGACCCCATAGAGCCCCATAGACCCCCCATGGACCCCATAGACCCCATAGACCCCCCATGGACCCCATAGACCCTACAGACCCCATAGAGTGCCCCATAGACCTCCCATGGCCCCATAGACCCCATAGAAATCCCTATAGACCCCATAGGGCGCCCCATAGAGACCCCATAATGTCTCATAGAGACCCATAGAGACCCCATAGAGACCCATAGACCCCATAGAGACCCATAGAGACCCCATAGAGACCCATAGACCCCATAGAGTCCCCATAGGGCGCCCCATAGACCCCATAGAGACCCATAGAGACCCCATGGGCCCCGTAGTGCCCCATAGAGTCCCATGGACCCCATAGACCCTACAGACCCCATAGGGCGCCCCATAGACCCCCCATGGACCCCATAGATCCCATGAGCCCCATAGACCCCATAGAGCCCCATGGACCCCATAGACCCCCCATGGGCCCCCCAGCCCCATAGCGCCCTCACCTGGCAGGCCCCCTTGCCCCCCTGGGCCCCCCCGGCGCAGACCATGGTGGGGCGGGCGGGGTGGCCCAGCTCCCGCTGGCGCAGCCGCGAGTGGAGGCAGTTGCAGATGTTGGGGCTCAGCAGGTCCAGGGCCACCTTCTGCAGGGGGGACCCCGCCGGCAGCGACACTGCGGGGGGACACGGGGGGCGCCCCACGGGGAGACGTCACCATGGGGGGCCACCACGGGGAGACACGACCCGTGGGAGATGGCGGTATGGGGGGACGTCATCGTGGGGGGCCACCATGGAGAGATGTCATCGTGGGGAGACGTCGTTATGGGGGGCCACCATGAGAGACGTCATCATGGGGGGCCACCATGGGGGGAACATCATCATGGGGGGCCACCACGGGGAGACCCAACCCATAGGAGATGTCACCATGGGGAGACGTCATCGTGGGGGGCCACCATGGGGGGACGTCATCGTGGGGAGACGTCATCATGGAGGGCCACCATGGGGGGGGACGTCATCATGGGGGGCCACCAGCGGACAGACCCAACCCATGGGAGACATCAGTATGGGGGGACGTCATCATGGGGGATCACCATGGGGAGATGTCATCATGGGGGGCCACCACCAGGGAGACCCAACCCATGGGAGACATCACCGTGGGGAGAGAGGGGCTGGGGACCCTCCACCATGGAGACCCCGATGACCAAGAACCTCCCCATGGAGACCAAGAACCTCCCCATGGAGACCCCAATGACCAAGACCCACCCCATGGAGACCAGGAACCTCCCCATGGAGACCCACCACCATGGAACCCCCCTCCATGGAGACCCCGATGACCAAGACCCACCCCATGGAGACCAGGAACCTCCCCATGGAGACCCACCGCCATGGAACCCCCCTCCATTGACACCTCAATGACCACCCCATGGAGACCCCAATGACCAAGACCCTCCCCCTGGAGCCCCACCACCCCCCGGTGGCTCTCACCGTTCTCAGCCACGTTGCCCCAGCCGGTGACCCAACAGGGGGCTCCGAAGGCGAAGGGGTGGTGGGGGCGGGGCAGGCAGATGGTCCCCACCCGCGGCCCCAGGGCCACCGGGGGCTCCAGCCGGGCCAGCGCCAGGTCGTGGCCACCTTCCACCCGCCGGTAGTCCTCGTGGACCACCACCTCCACCACCGGCCTCTCCTGACCCCCCGGCTCCTCCAACCGGAGACGGCCCACCACGGCCCGCCAGGCCCGGGGCTCCGCGCGGCTACCGTTGGGCCTGGGGGGGGGGCCACCAACCGTCACCTTGGGCCACCC